GAACAACGGCGAGAGATCAAACCCTTCGGACAACGCAATTATATGAAACGCGTTTAGCGTCTCTGTCTCTTCTTTCGACTTATGAACCGATAAATCGAGATCCTCAGCGTCTACTACTTGAGCGGTAATGGTGATTGGTTCGTTTTTCGACTTCGTTGCGGGTTTCTTGAACCAAGTCGAATCCATAACCTTATCAATGGTGATTCGAGTACTCGGATTCGGATCAAGAAGCTTCGTCACGAGCCTTCTCGCATCAGAAGAAAGCCAACCAGGACATTTGAAATCTCCTCTGTAAATCTTCCTATACATATTCACAAGATTATCATCTTGAAAAGGCAAATAACCAGCAAGAAGCACAAAGAGGATAACACCACAAGACCATAGATCCGCCTTAGCTCCGTCGTATCCTTTCTTCAATATCACTTCCGGCGCAACGTACGCCGGAGTTCCACAAGTCGTATGAAGAAGCCCGTCTTGCTTCAAATGCTCAGTAAAAGCAGAGAGACCAAAATCAGTCACCTTAAGATTACCTTCTTCATCTAACAATAGATTCTCCGGTTTCAGATCTCGGTGATAAACTCCACGGCTATGGCAGAAATCAACCGCGGAAATCAATTGCTGGAAATAAACACGAGCTACGTCTTCGCGTAATCTTCCTTTAGCGACTTTAGCGAACAATTCGCCTCCTCTTACAAGCTCCATAGCGAAATAGATCTTTGATTTACTCGCCATAACTTCGTGAAGCTCGACGATGTTTGGATGCTTCACCATTCTCATCACTGAGATCTCACGTTTGATCTGTTCAACCATACCGACTTTCACCACTTTCTCTTTCCCGACCACTTTCATCGCAACGCTTTTACCAGTTTGTACGTTCCTCGCGTGATACACCTTCGCGAATGTTCCGTGACCTAGAAGACGACCTAGCTCGTAACGACCGTGAAGCAGACCCGTACTACTTATACCACCACCGTCAGATCCATTCTCCACCATGATTTGATTTTTCACAACGACGATTTGAAGAAATTCG